GACGCAGTTGCTACTTAGCTGAGGGGTGCATTTGCCTAGGAAGCCCCCAGCGGTCTGAGTACAGGGGTAAAGAGACTCCAACGTTCTTCATGTTTATGGCCATGCGTGGGGGAGTGACGATGTTTTCTGAATCTAGTCTTCTCTGCATTCAGAGCTGAAAAACAGGAAGGAAGTGAGGGTGCTTGGGAGTGAACACTTCCTTTTTAGTGGATAGTCACAATCTCAAAATAGGTTTAGAAGCGTAGCGAAGGGAGCAGGGTGACAACCATTGCAGTTCATTTGGGGCCGCGGGTTTCCCAGGATGCAGTACCCCCAGTGCTAAAAGTTGGGGGTCACAGGCAAGCCACGAAAATTTGTCATCCAGATTCGCTCGTGTCACATACACACACGAGTCTAATGTACACCCCCACCACGCCTCAAATAACACAACAGCCTCTTTTAGTCCATCTTTTTCACAGGATGAAACTAGGGTAAATATGAGTCAAAAACTTCCTTAAATTCATGTGGCCTGAGCTTGAAGGCGCCTGGGTTGGACCTGAGCTCTGTCTACTCAGAGTGCTCTCTGGACTCGGCCCCACTGGAGACCCGTCGGTCACTGATTAACTCCAATTCACCCACTTGCTGAAGATTGTCAGGGTGCAGAACATGAACCGAGCCTGGACTGCACTCTCAATGAGTTCGACCAGTCTCTGTCATGTAGGTAAGTAGAGAGCCAGTGAATACCAAAGAGAGAGCAGTTGAATAATAATTTTAAATAAAATTTGTGGGAGGCTATTGGTTTAAACCAAGCTCCTTGCTCTAGCCCCAGTAGACCAGACCAAACCAGAAGGGAATCATTCCTGGGACAGAATCAAGTGAAACCTGAGATGGGCCAGTTTTCCAACCAGACATGTATAGGAAACAATTGGAAGGTGCTCAGTTTATCTGTATCCGCATGAAAAGGAAGTCTGCTTGCTTTAGTCCAAGAGGGGAGGGACGTTGACAGGACCGGGCTGCTTTGTGTCCCCCGTTTCTGCTTCTCCAGCCTTTCCTGCCCATCAAGCTCCCTCCCTCCTGCGCTCACCTCCCTGGAGTGGGTTTTCTAAATCTCCAGACGGGATGCTGTGCAACTGATGAATCAATAGCCAGTACAAGTCAATCAAGCTTCAAATTTGTTCAAATTGTGGTCTTTAACCATGATAGCCAAGACAATAGAAACAAACTTTGCAAGAGTTCCAGTGGGACTGGAGCTTGAAGGCAATTCAGTTAACCATTAAATAGGTAGCACTTCAATAATCTAAGAGGCACTTCAAGTTAAGGAGAGTCAGCATTGGATTCTTCCTACGCTAGGGCAGTCTTGGGAATTTAGATGGAATAAAGATCTTGAACTCTCTTGCTGCCTCACACTTCCTGGTTGACTAGGTTCCAACTCTAGCCATCTTGAGCCTCTTCCCTTTTACCTGGGACTACGGAACGACTACAGTCAGGGTTTAGTGACTCTGGATGCTGCCCATTTTCTTAACAGGAAGAATAACAAAAGTGAAGCTAACGTATCAAGCCTCAGGTATGTAGAAGTGTTTTATAGTTGCTTGCTGATTTGTTGGGCTCTTTGTAAGTTCCACACTATTACTGGAAGTTCAGTGCCTGTCCCTGGTGCCAAATCAAAATAACAAGGACAAGGCTTTGGGGTGAAAGAAAGAGAACATTTAGTCTGTCAACAGATGAGAGGGTGGCAGACCTCAGAATCTCAGGACTACCACTCTCCAGATGAGGGTGTTTTAGGTTTTTAAAGAAGCTGACTTGGTGAAATCATGAAGGAGTGCAGGTTTCTGGTATCAGGCACCATGGCTTGTCGCTAGCTCAGTGGCAATGCCTTCCTTCTCTGTTTCATCACGGTGGCTGTTGAGGCCCATGGGCAGGGCTAGGGGGTGCTGGTGGTAGTGGCTGAGAGATCTAGCCTGACCAGATCGTCCTGCTTTGCAAAAGAAGTTGAGATTAGGAACAAGGCAATGAGTGCCTTAGGACATGGGCAAGTGGGAAGCCAACAGTCCAGCTCCGAAGCATCAGCTTCACAGCTTCACACTGAAGAGAGCAGTTAAATTGTTTACTTATGTTGTTTTATATCTGTTTACAACACCAGTTGTAGGGTTTCTCCAATGGGAAGACAGGACATGGGAACATCCATTCTAAGGACACACCACTTTTAGAGGGTACCAGCAAGTCTACAAGTTAGCAGGCACGTAGGCAAGGTTATACATCAACTTAAGGATTTGGGAAAAGGAATTCGGTCTGGTGGTCTAACATAGGGATTAGAGCTGTGTTGAAAATCTTCAGAGACAGGCCCATTTAGATGCTCGTGCAAATTTACAAATTCCCGAAAATATTCTAGGTACCAATTAAGGTCCATTAGTCCCCTGCTGCTCCCGCTGCTACATTCCTTTGGGGCAGATGTGTCCATCCCTGGCCTATTTTGGCATGAGCAGAAACTTCAGCCATGCCTCTAATTTCAGGGGGGTGTGCCCCCCGAGAGGTATTTATGCAGCCTCTCTACAACCAGCAAGTATGATGTCTAGCATATACCCAGCATTCGCTAGTTGCCGAATGGATGTATAGACTATGATAAATGGAAACTCCTCAAGATAGAAGAATTTTTGTCAACATGTAAAATTAAATCAGTTTTTAATTTGGTAACAAATACTGTTAAAATACAAAAAAGGTGAAGCACTGTCGCTCCCCCTCTTCGTGGAGGAACGACACAGGACCCTGCGCTGTTCTTTCGTCTGCTCGGCCCTTCCCAGGTTTGCTGCTGGTTCTTCCCAGGTTGGCTGCCGTCCCTTCCACCTCCGTGGAGGAGCGGGCCCCCCTGCCACTTTCCCCACTTCCGCGGGGGAGCGGTGCACCGCCGGCCGGCTCTCTCGGGGGCTGCACAGGTGTTCCTTCAGATAGATGTTCCCCTTAGATGTTCCTGGTGCATGTTGTCTCTCTCCTCCTTTATAGTCCTCTTCCACCAATCCCAACTCTGCTACCCACACGCCAAGTACGCTGCTCTCCTCCAATCAGGAGCAGGATCAGCTCCTGCAGGTTACTGGTCGAACTGGAGGCAGCTGTGTAGAAGTTGTTTACTCCTCTCCCAGCGCCACATTGTGGGAGAGCAGATGCATAGAATAAGTCTTAATTCCAGTAACTTAGTCTAGTCCGAGTTGCTCCCCACAAAGCATGACTTTTTTTAAGAAACAATTCTATCTCAAGTGCCATAGTATTACTCCGAGACATCGCAGTAAAGCCCACATTAGGGGACCAGTTATACATGGTTATATGACATGAATGTTATACAGAGCATTAAGCTGCCACCTGCCATGTGGGCATCCCATTTGAGCACTGGTTCAAGTCTCAGCTGTTCCACTTCTGATCCAGCTCCTTGCTGGGAAATCAGCAGAAGATGGCCCAAGTGCCTGAGCCCCTGCCACCTGTGATGGAGTTCCAGACTCTTGGCTTTAGCCAGGCTCAGTCCCGGCTTTTGTAGCCATTTGTAGAGTTAACCAGCACGTGGAAGATCTCTCTCTTTCTCTCCCCCTGTAGCTTTACCTTTCAAATACACGAAGTAAATCTTGAAAAAAGTCCATATTACTTATTAGCCAGAAAGAACACTCTATTGAAGGCCTAAGAAAAGAAACTGATGTTGGGTTGGCTTTAGTCTGCCTCATTGAAATTTAAGTTTCTGGTTTTTTGGGATTGGCTGGGTTATGTGTCACTCATGACTTTTGGGAAGTGGTCACAGCTGAATCAATCCATTGCCTTTTATGGATGCTGTTAATACATTTTTCATGGGGCTGGCGCTTTGGCGCAGCAGGTTAGCGCCCTGGCCTGAAGTGCCAGCATCCCATATGGGCACTGGCTCGAGACCTGGCTGCTCCACTTCCAATCTGGCTCTCTGCTATGGCCTGGGAAAGCAGTAGAAGATGGCTCAAGTCCTTGGACCCCTGAACCCATGTGGGAGACCCGTAAGAAGCTCCTGGCTCCTGGCTTGGGATCGGCCCAGCTTTGACCATTGCAACCATTTGGTGAGTGAACCAGCAGATGGATGACCTCTCTCTGCTTCTCCTCTCTCTGTGTAACTCTGAATTTCAAATAAATAAATAAATATCTTAAAAATAAATTTTTTTGTGTTTTCTCATCTTTTAATCCAACACTTTCAGCTCAACCAGAGATTCAGAGGGTGGAGGCCGATGAGCAGAGGAGTCTGTAAAAAGGCCGGTGGTGACCAGGCTGCTGTCGGCCCCCTGATACCACTCTTTTGTGAGAGTCCCACAGAGGCCTCTCCTGTTCTGAATGAGGGCACCCACTTGTTCTGGAACACTTCTGTGCACTCCCATTCAGGAGGTGATGGAGACACGGAGGAAGTGAGTCCCTCCTGCCTGCATCCCGCTCTGTCCGTCTGCCCCTAGCACGATGAGCTCACTGGCTTCTCCAGCTGCTCCTCCCGCTCTCCTCCTTGCAACATGAACAGGAGGACACTGGAGCCTCGAGGGAGGAGCCAGGGAAGCCCCTCATTTTCCTAGAACTCTAAGCATGCCCCATTCCTGGTCCAGCCCTCCTTGGGATCGCCCACATCTAGGGTGTGCATTAGTACAGGGGACGCCAGGGCTAGGGCTTCCTTGGCACTACAGAACTGATGGCATCCCTTGCAAGCACATGCTAGAATGATCCCCAGAAACCAGAAGAGAGACTGGGAATGTCCAGAGAGGCACGATGAACTGTGCAGGGTCAAACTTGTACAAAGTCGAGAGAGCAGGTCTGAGTCCAGCTGTGGCACTGCCTGGGCCCAGGCCAGCCCTGTGGCAGGTGCTGCCTGTGTTGGTGCAACTGAGGACAGTGGGCACAGGGCATAGGGGTAGACGTAGAATAGGAAGTGCCCACTGAGAATCTGAGGATATCTTGTGTGAGGAGGGGGCTCAGCTTAGGAGCCACAGGAAGTGACCTCACTATGTTGGTGATGACCTAGAGAACTGGGTGCCCCGGCAACCAAGCCAACATTCCAGAGTTGAGTCTGAGCCAGCTCACCTGGATAGAGACTCACAGGAAGATGTTCCTGAGTTGTATCCGGCGATGCCGAAGCCCAGGCCCCGAGAAACCCTGCTGTGGGCGCCTCGCCCAGTGGTGGGGACGCTGGGCCAGCCCTCACCCCCGACGCACCTGGCGCTTCAAGCAGAAAAAGACCAGGGTGAGTCTGGCAGCCAGGGCAGGTCTCTGCCGGCCAGGACACCACTGAGATCCCACTGGGAGCCCAGAGGCCCCTGGGTGTGGGGGGACAAGGAGCCACTTCACCTCTGGAGGAGGGAGGCCGGAGTTCAGCGGTGGGGACAGCTTGAGTCCCAGAGCTGCTGGCTGTGGAGGGATCTCTGGGACCGCCTTTTCCCTGTCATTCTCTGCTCTTGTCTCCTAGGTCCAGGACAGGTTGGCCTCGCCCCTGGCACAGCACAGCAGGCTGGGGTTTGCCAGCAGCCCGGACAACCATCAGCCGACTAAAATCGATGACCTGCGTGTAGTGGGGGAGAGGGCAAACACACCCACAACTCCAAAGCTCTTGTACCGGGCATTACCCTGGGTGCGCAAACCACCACAGGTCCCCCTCAGTCGCTTAATCTTGGTAAAGGCCCAGATAGAGCCCAGGGGGTCTGCAAATGCCCATCTGACAGAGGTGGCAGTGGGGCCCGACAACTTCGCCTGTGTCAGTGGTGAAGCAAGGTCAGGGCCAGGCCTGGCACCTGACCCCACGGCTGGGGCGGAGCAGAGCCATGACCTTCAAGCAACACTCTTGCTGGAGCAGCGCTGGCCCTCCAACGATGAGCGGGGGACAGCCATGTCCCTGGGTGCCGAGCAGGGCTCAGTGGAGGCCCTGACACAAGAGTCTCTGGGGATGGTGGGCCTGGAGCCAGAGCTGTGTGGGGCAGTGGAACAAGGGGCCACCCAGCCCCCAGCTGCAGCCAAGGAAGTCCCTTCTGTTTCAGCCCCAGTGCCACGCCTGTCCTTCCCCACCTCTGTGATCCTGTATTTCTCTTTACTCCTCCCCATTGTGTTCCTTTTCTCCACCTTTTTGTCCCTTTACCAAAATAAAATTTAATTTATTACCCACTGTGAAGTGTACAATTCACACCGTGCGAACTCCCCAGGCCGTGCCCTTCCCACCCCACTCTCCCTGCACCATGGCCCCAATGCCCAGGACCTGGAGCCTCTGAAGAGGACACTGGCACCTCCCCAGGGGCAAAGCCAGGGTTGCCCATCGGACAAAGAGAACCAAATGCTGGGCAGTCCAAGGAAAGCAATGAACACAGAGACACTATCATGGCTGGGGCAGTGTCTCCTCATGTCAGGGACGTTGGCTCTGAAGTCACAGATCTGACCTGCAGTGGGTGTTCTCACTGCAGCCTCAGTGTCCTCATCTGTGAAATGGGATGGCAACCCTCCCACAGCCATCACCAGGACAGGGAATGCGATGCTCTGCACCTCCCTGCACACACTGGGAGCCCCCAGCTTCCGGGATGAGGGGTGCAAAGGGAGTGGGTTGGGGCTTCTTAACGGAGGGAACAGAATCAGGTCCAGGGGCACACACAAACAACACCTGTCACAGTCTCTGTCCCTGTGCTCATCAATGGGTCACTGGCAGAAGGATCAGAGCAGGGATTTTCTCACTGCACAAGAGACAGAGGGGCCTTGTCCAGGACCCCGTGTGACCCAGACTGCCTGGTGTGACATGGGGAGTTTTCAAATCTATCATTGCTTATTCATAATAGGCATTTTCCAAGAACTTTTTGAAGCTCTCTTGTATGTGAGGATTTCACTTTTTTGCACCAAAAAAATCTTTTAATTCTGTTTTCTAAGAAATTTTTGAAGTCCCTCTTATGTCCAGGATTCATCTCAAAATTTGTTTAAAAGGTGTGAATTACAAACAGGATCACACAGCAGGTGCTAGTCAGGAAGTTTCCGAAACTTAAGGAAAGAAGGAAGGAAGGAAGTTGTTACATAAATGAAAAATGTAAGAGGCAATTTCGTTGTCACTGGAAACACTAAGTTTTCTTATAGTTCTATAAGAAAGGCCTTCTTATTAAAAACAGGGTTCACAAAGTTTTATAAAAAATTTAGTTATTTGAGAGATGGAGTTACAGACAGGGGGAGGGAGAGAGAGAGAGAACAGAGAGAGGGAGAGATCTTCCATCCACTGGTTCATTCCCCAAATGGCCACAATAGCCAGAGCTGGGCCCGCTGGAAGTCATGAGCCAGGAGCTTCATCTGGGTCTCCCATGCAAGTTCAGGGGCCCAAGCACTTGGGCTTTCTTCCACTGCCTTCCCAAGCAAAGCAGAGAGCTGGATGGGAAGAGCAGCAGCTGGAACACTAATCAGTACCCATTGGGATGCCAGTGCCACAGGCGTAGGCTCAGCCTACCATGCCACAGCACAAATATTTTTCCTTTTTTTTTTAAAGATTTATTTTATTTATTTGAAAAACAGAGTTACAGAGAGAGGTAGAGACAGAGAGAAAGGTCTTCCATCTGCTGGTTCACTCCCCAAATGGCCACAACAGCCAGAGCTGTGCCGATCCGAAGCCAGGAGCCAGGAGCTTCTTCTGGGTCTCCCATGCAGAAGCAGGAGCCCAAGGACCCGGGCCATCTTCCACTGCTTTCCCAGGCCACAGCAGAGAGCTGGATTGGAAGAGGAGCAGCCAGGACTAGAACCAGCGCCCATATGGGATGTCAGCACTTCAGGCCAGGGCATTAACCCACAGCGCCACAGCGCCGGCCCCCAAATATTTTTCCTTAATTGTCCCTTGAGCTGTGCAGGTGACTGCCAGTGTGCTATGGGGACAGCTTGTACTCCAGGGAGTGGTAGCAATTTGTATTGCTTGCATTATTTAATGTGCAAGAGCCCATTTTGTCTCATACTATTTTCACAGAACCTTTTTTTTTATGAAATTCCCTATAAGTCTATAAAGCATATACTTTTCATTTAATACCTGAGTAACGCATCATTGTGTGCCATTAAACTCAGTGAAGATACCAAAGTCCCTTAGTTCCTGCCAATGTTAAGGGATCGGAGCTATTTCAACCCTTTCATGTTGCAACTAATGCAACCATATTTGTTTTACCTCCTAGAGATGATGTGTTTTGTTTTCCTGATGTTATTTGTCTGTGCACATGTTGTTTGTGCACAAACAGGCAAGCTTTGTTTGTTTCCTTCTGCCTTTGTATATCATGGCCCAAAAAAAAGGATTTAGGACTGAAAATACATGTCAGTTTTATGACAGCTATTGACTTTTGCCAGTTATAACTTTTTTATTTCTAGGTATTTTTTTAAATATTTATTTATTTATTTGAAAGAGAGTTACAGAGAGAAAAGAAGAGACAAAGGGAAAAAAAGAGATCTTCCATCCACTGGTTACTCCCCAAAATGGCTACCATGGCCAGGCTGGGCCAGGCTGAAACCAGGAGGAAGAAACTCCATCTGGGTCTCCCACATGCGTGGCAGGGGCCCCAAACACTTGGGCCACCTGCTACTGCTTTCCCAAGGGCATTAGCAGGGAGCTGGATCAGAAGTGGAGCAGCTGGGATTCGAACCGGTGCTCATGTGGGATGCCTGGGCTTTTTTTGTTTTTTGTTTTTTTTTGGTCGACTTTCATTTAAACGCTTGTTGGTGATATACTCTTTTCTTTTGGGGACATCTCCAGGCAGAGTCCTCTAAGAGGATGCAGCCTCCAAGGTTGGGGAGCACTCCAGGCTCAACAGTCCCACCCTGTGGAGCCCCTGGTGCAGGGACTCAATTCAGTGTCATGAAGATGACTCTGAGGATAACGCTTCTCCCAGATCCTAGAGTGTGGGTGACCTGTGCCCGGCTGGGAGACTGCCTGCCTAGCCCACGCAGGAGGTTAAGAGGGCCATGTCCCCCAGGAAAAACTCTGGTCGAGGGCTCAGCACACTGGGACCCCCACATATGACCTAGCTGCTGGCAGGTGGCAGGGACCCCAGGCACATTTGCTCCACCCCCACTTCCTGTTGAAGGGCCTTGTAATTGTCAGTCAGGTAAACAGCTCCCATGTGTGGCCCAGACCCATAGAGACCACCTGGAAGGCTTTGTAGGCTACATGATCTTCAAGTGGATTGGAAAAGCGGAGAGGCGCCAGTACCTGCTTTATCATATAGAATTAGTGTTGCCATTAGCTACTCCCCTTTGCCTGCCCTTTAAAAGCTTGCGCCTGATTGTTAATAACCGCACATGTTCACTGAAACTTGTCTCCAGTGCTTCCTGCCAAAGAACTCCGGGGCCCCACCATCCCGACAATAGCCCGTGCTAGAGAGCCATGAGACATTAGTTTTGTGTGAACAGCACCAAGAGGTCAAAGATTCTGCTTGGAAAAAAAAAATAGTCTTAGGGAAGCTGCAGAGAAAAAATTCATTGTAGTCACTTAAAAAAAAAATTCTAGGCCGGCACTGCGGCTCACTAGGCTAATCCTCCGCCTAGCGGCGCCGGCACACCGGGTTCTAGTCCCGGTCGGGGCGCCGGATTCTGTCCCGGTTGCCCCTCTTCCAGTCCAGCCCTCTGCTGTGGCCAGGGAGTGCAGTGGAGGATGGCCCAGGTGCTTGGGCCCTGCACCCCATGGGAGACCAGGAAAAGCACCTGGCTCCTGGCTCCTGCCATCGGATCAGCGCGGTGCGCCGGCCGCAGCGCGCCAGCCGCGGCGGCCATTGGAGGGTGAACCAACGGCAAAGGAAGACCTTTCTCTCTGTCTCTCTCTCTCACGGTCCACTCTGCCTGTCAAAAATAAAATTAAAAAAATTAAAAAAAAAAAATTCTAGCCCTTTCTAAACTCTAGTGACCCAGAGGCGCTCACATGGACAGAGGATTACATTTGTGTGTCTGTGTGGCCCCTGATTTGTTGTCAAAGGGAGTTAGTTATTCAAGACTTTATGTTGAGTGAATGCTAAGTGCAGGGAAGGGAGAAGCCCAGGTAAGGCTTTCTGGGGTGAACTTTGAGCCGGATTTGAAGGCTGACAGCGCTTCACTGGATGGGAGGAGAAGAGGCTAGCTTGGGGGGCGCATCGCAAGACACACTGAGGAGTTTGGATTTATTTTGCAGATGGGGTGATGCCACTGAAGACTACAGCAGCAGAAAAGTGGGAGTGAGTTAATGCAATGAGTATTTCCTTTATAAGGGTCTCACAAGAAAAACTTGCATGCTGCTTTTTTTTTTTTTTTTTTTTGACAGGCAGAGTGGACAGTGAGAGAGAGAGACAGAGAGAAAGGTCTTCCTTTGCCGTTGGTTCACCCTCCAATGGCCGCCGCGGCCAGCGCGCTGCGGCCGGCGCGCCGCGCCGATCCGGTGGCAGGAGCCAGGAGCCAGGTGCTTTTCCTGGTCTCCCATGGGGTGCAGGGCCCAAGCACCTGGGCCATCCTCCACTGCACTCCCTGGCCACAGCAGAGGGCTGGCCTGGAAGAGGGGCAACCGGGACAGAATCCGGCGCCCCGACCGGGACTAGAACCCGGTGTGCCGGCGCCGCTAGGCGGAGGATTAGCCTAGTGAGCCGCGGCGCCGGCTTGCATGCTGCTTTTTTAAAAAAATTTGATAAATGGTCAGTTATGTATCATGAAATTTTTACTTCTGCTGAAGTCTTATCAGAACGTCTTCATGTTGGCAGAAAATTCCGGAGGAGTCGGGGTGAGCCCTCTGTGTCACAACCATAGAGTCAGATAATAGAGAATGTGGACGGTGGCCTCAGGGCATAAAGTGGGGCAGGCTGCACAGCTTGTGCAGAGATGCACATCACCTACCTGGGAAAACCTGTTGGGCTACAGGAAACTCACCCGGACTGAGGAAATACTGCAATTGTTTGGCAACGGGCAGAACTCTGACTGGCCTGCCCGCTGCTCCCTTGCAAGCACACGGGAAGTCACCCTAAGGAGGGACCGCTGTGCAGGTGTGCGGTGCTCAGCTGACAGTCTGTTACCGCAGTAGGAAGCCCCTACCTGTTCTGCTTTCCTGCAGTGTGTTCAATACCTCCAGCTCAGCTCACTCTGTTAGTGGAGAACAGCGGTAAGCAAGGTAGCAAGGTTTATTGGAGTAGGGCATCCGTCAAAACAGATGGGATAGAATCCAAACAGTGTGCCCATCTCTCAGACTGGGGAAAGCAAGGTAACAAGGTCATGTGGTTAAATGGAGAGAATACACCTGGCAGGCCAGGCGGGCGGCTCAGCAGAGAGCTGAGTGCTGAGCGCAGTCTGTATTCAGATGGGGCTTCTAAGGAAAAGGGGTCCAGTTCTTCCTGCCGTTTCTCCTGCTCTTTCTCCTCCTCCTCCAGGACAAAGGGTTTTCTGAGTGTGAACTAGGTGAAACTCCCTTCGAGGTTTCACTACTCAGCGCTGTCAGACTGGGGAGCCCACCTGGTGCCAAGCAGGGGCACCTTAGGGTACCTTCCTTGGAGGAAGGATGTAAAGAATTTATTGCTCAATCAGGACAGGTAACCCATTTGATGTGGAGAAGACAGGATTCTCCTGGAAAGTCCTCCATGGGGAAAAGGCTGAGACCACCTGTACAGTCAGCAGGCTATGGACAGAACTCTGAAGTGTAAAATCCTGGGCTGCTTCCAAGGTGAGTTCTGCGGATGCCCTGTCATACGCACAGGCTAATTTCTGACATCCTACCTAAGACATCTGCCCTGGTGAATTCTTTTCCAAAAGTTGAGAGCCGCCTAGCACCTGTCATTCCTGAGCTGTGTCTCAGAGCAGTCACCCCTCCCCTCACCCCTCTCTGGGCTACAGCGTGGTGCCTGATGTCGGGTTGGTCACAGGGACCTGGCCATGTTGCAGCCTCAGGAGTGACCTGGCTGATGAGGGGGCACAAACCCATCCCCACGGTCCAGCTGACAGACTAGGAGGACCACCTTGCAGAGCGCGAGGCTTGGAGGGAATGAGACACAAATGAGGCGGTTTTTGGGGGGACTGTGAGTGTGGGAAGGACAATCAGACAGGTGGTTCTCGGGAAACCAGAAGCCTATGTAGGGGACTATTTCGGGAGAAGCTAGAAACCACGCAAGTACCCCAGACTCCCAGGCTAGTGGGAAAGAGAGCAGAACGGGGAAAATTGTGTAAGAATAAAGGAACAGGGGTTTCATCACCTCCTTTTTGTTTGGCATGGTCTGCCCTTAGCAACCGATGGCAATGTAGCAGATCCCTACTCACTCCAGGTGCTGAAGAGAGCAGAGGAGGCTTCTGGTCAGGGTGAGGGGGCTTTCAGGCAGGGAGAAGAGAAGCAGGAGGGAGGAGCTTGTGCGGCTGCCTGGGTGGAGGCGAAGGTGTCCCTGCAACTATGTAGCAGTTGTTCTGGGCTCAGCACATCTCAGGACAGTGAGGTATTGTGCCCAGGGTTGTGCAGATCTGGGCAGGCCCATTCCCTGCTGGCAGAGAAGACTCTGTACTTTGGATAATGAATCAAGGCCGGTCACTGATACAATGGAGATGTTGAATAGGATCTGTGACTTGCCCACAGCTGCTTTTTGAAGACTCCAGTCCACGCTACACTGGCACCTGCTGTGCATACACCTAGCACACGTGCACCTGACATGCCAGCACCTGGCTGGGGGAAAGCTCCTGCCACCCTGGAGAACTCAGTCACCAATACAGTTGCCTGCTTAGGGGCCTCTAGCTTCCTAAGGTTTGTCCCTCTGGGAGCCTGGATTTAGAATTCGCCATTGTGTGGGGCTACTTGGGTGCTGCATAGCTTCAACTGGCTTCAGTAGGAACCAAGGCAGACAATCCAGGTGGACCGTCTGCTGGGAGAACAGAAATGGCATTGATCAAAACTGGAAACTCAGGAGTCAGGCCCCAAATTTAGGATAGAGGATGAAATTTTATTTTTAAAAAGCATTCATTTATTTATCTTGAAAGTCAGAGTTACAGAGAGAAAGCAAGAGACAGAGAGATCTTCCATTCACTGGCTCACTCCCCGAATGGGGCTGGGCCAGGCTGAAGCCAGAAGCTTCTTCCAGGTCTCTCTCTCTCTCTTTTTTTTTGACAGGCAGAGTGGACAGTTAGAGAGAGACAGAGAGAAAGGTCTTCCTTTACCGTTGGTTCACCCTTCAATGGCCGCTGCGGCTGGTGCACTGCGCTGATCCGAAGCAGGAACCAGGTGCTTCCTCCTGGTCTCCTATGTGGGTGCAGGGCCCAAGGACTTGGGCCATCCTCCAAGGACTTGTGCCCTCCCGGGACACAGCAGAGAGCTGGCCTGGAAGTGGAGCAACAGGGACAGAATCCGGCTCCCTGACCGGGACTAGAACCTGGTGTGCCGGCGCCGCAGGCGGAGGATTAGCGTAGTAAACCACAGCACCGGCCTCTTCCAGGTCTCTTACAAGGGTGGCACCCTCCACTGTTTTGGGCCATCCTCCACTGCTTTTCCCAGGCCATTAGCAGGGTGCTGGATCAGAAATGGAGCAGCTGGGACACGAACCTGCACCCATATGGGATGCCAGGGATGCAGGTGGTGGCTTAACCCGCTATACCACACTGCCATTCCCAGGGGATGAAATTTTGAAATCTGGCGTTGAGGGGGCAGGTATTTGGTGTACAGGTTAAGATACCATTTGGGATACCCGCATCCCATGTCTGGGTGCTTGCTTTGAGTCCTCATTACTCTGCTTCTGATGCAGCGTCCTACTAATGCACACCCTAGGGAGGCAGCAGATGATGGTCAGAGTGCCTGGGCAGACCCATACTGAGTTCCCAGCTCCGGGCTTTGACCTAGCAGCCCTGGCTGTGGCCAGTATTTGAGGAGTGAACCAGCAGATGGAGGATCTCTCTGTCACTCTTTGAAATAGAAAATAAAAATTTAAAAAGTCAAAAAAAATTTCCCAGCTGAAATACCAGTGAATTACTTAGCTGGCTTACAGCAGCAACAGAGGAGGGCATATGAGGCGCGTGGAGTAGGGACAAGAACCCAGCGGCCACTCTCCCAAGTTGCAGCCTCTTCACCTGGTCTGCCCGCAACTCTGCATTTCTGGTTCCACGTCTGGCCCCAGCAGGAACTGTCTCACGGAGAAGGCGGGTCCCCTCTCCCAAATGCCACTTGTGGAGGCAGGAAGAGACCAATGCTTCTAGAATCATCTTCAGTGCCGTACAGAGAACTGAACCCGAGCTATGAAGCCGCAAAGCGAGGCCCAGGCGCTAGGAACTGCAGAAGGCGGCCGCACGGTCGCCCCTCTGCTCAGGCCCGACTGCTGCCGGGGGGGCACCACCGGGGCGGTTAGCGGCGGGACGCCCACTGCCCGGCGAGGGCCCCCGTCGGAAGGAAGCGGCCGGGCGAGCAGCAGCGTCCACTGCGCCCAGGTCTGCCCGGAGCCCGGCCCGTGCCTCCACCCCCTGAGGCGGGGCGGCGAGGGGCGGATGCCCAGGGGGCCCAGGAGGCCGTCCCAGCCGCCCAGCCGCTCCGCGGGCTCCCGGGAGGAGCCGGCCGGCGGCCACGTGACCGGCCGCGGCGCGGCGCGCGGCCCAGAAATAGCAGCGGCGGCGGTTCCGCCCGCGGGCTGGCGCGGGGGCCGAGCCGCGGGACGCAGGCTGGGCGGGCGCAGCGGCCCCGGCCCCGGACGATGCTGCTGAGCCCCCGGCCGACGCGGCCCCGAGCACATGATGGCGATACGCGAGCTCAAAGTGTGCCTTCTCGGGGTGAGTGCGCGCCCCCTCCGCCTGTCCCTGCCCCGCGCCCGCCTCCGAGCGCCCCCAGCCCCAGGCTTGTGCGCTCCCCGCGCCCCAGCGTGCGCCCCGAGCCGGAGCCGTCCCCGAGTTTTCTCCACTCGCTCCGCCTCGGCCCCGGCGCGTTCCCCGCCCGGAGTCGCTCGGGCCTCGCCGGGCTGCGGGCGGGCCGGGCAGGGGCGCCCGGGCTCCCTCGGCGGGGACTGGAGGCGCGGCGGCCCGGGAGAGCTTTCGCCTTCGTCTTTGATAATTTCCTTCCGCCCGCAAGTTTAAGTTCCTCAGCCCAGGCGCCCGTCTTCGTGTGCCTCCTGGAGCCGTTGGTTTATCAAACATAAATAAATAAATAAAGAAAAGCCGAGCCCTGGGTGAGCCATCCGAGGGTGGCCGGGCTGGAGGGGGCAGAAGGGACGGGGCTGGGGGTGCGGCGGCCTTTGGAGCTGGGGACAAGCAGCAGCAGGCGGAGAGAGGCCCCCATCACCACTTCCCCTCCTCAGCGGGCTGTGTCTTAACCCGAAGGAGTAGCCAGAAACGGGTGCGCAGTGCTCTGGCGGCCCTGGGGACTCGGGATGTTTGAGGGTCCCTTCCATTTGGGGGCCACATCCAGTTCCAGAATTGCTGCTTTTAAAGGCAGGCCGTGTTTCCTGCAGACTTTGGCCTGGTGGCCTGGTGTGCCGCCCTTGCGGTTGGCCAAATCTGCCTCCCAAGAACTCCGTTTCCCTTAAAAGAGCAGTGGAAGGATTAGACCCCTTCTGACGGGCCTCAGAAGTGCTAAGCAGTCAGATGGGACGGAAGGACAGAGGTGTGTCCAGGTTAGGACTCCGTGGAACCAGACCGCCGGCGGCTCTGGGCTTCATCCAGGCCCTTCTGGAACCATCAGTGGGCAGAACCGTGTCCTCCCCAGCCCTGCCCTCTGCCCGTGACTCACACTCACTGGATGGCGCTAGCCTCAGACTGCCTGAGACTTCCCAGCCCTCTGGACTTGGTCGGCAGCAGCCTGGACCTGGAAGGATGCCATTCGGGTCCCTCTTGCCTTTCAACGTGGCAGGAGGGGGCCTCCTGTCCTCTAGTCTGTCCAGAATGACCAGAGTCCATGCTTCCTTGGGAGGTTCGGGTATGTTGCGTCCCACATGACCGAGAGCACTTTGGATGCATGTGGGGTGTGTGTGTGTGTGTGTATGTGAGTGACACTTTATCCCTTATCATCTACTTAGGCGGCACAGGCCTTGTCCCGTTGTGTGACTTCATATTTTCAATCATTGTTTAGGGTCCAGCCTTCTATGTGGACATGGATCAGGTGGCAAAGGCCCTGTATCAGGAAGCAGGAAACCTGGGCTCTCATTCTTTCCCACCAACCAGCCGTGCAGTTTTGGACAAGAACTCAGCCGTCTCATCTGTAAAATGGACAGAATCACAGCTTGCCTTTTAAGGTGGAGGACTCTGCCAGATGATCCCTTAAGATCCATGGTGGCATTCTTGGAGATCTGTGATCCCAGGGTGACAGCAAGCTGTAGGAAAAGTTCTGTTTAGTTTGTTGTTGTTGTTTTTTTTTTTTTTTTTTGCATCTCCAAGAACGAAACAGACTCTTTGGGCAGCTTCCTGGAGCCCAGTCTCACCTATGCTAACTGTTTGAGATGGCTCTGTTGGTAGGAAATTGAACTTGGAGGGGCAGAACATTGCTGATTGAGACAGGGAAGAGATTTCTGGGCAGAAAGTGGCTTGGGGACATCAGTGTGTGGCTCCTGCTTTTGAGGGTAGCTCTTGCAGTCTCATTGAGGTCAGAGGGTGTCTTATTTGAAAGGGCGGCTGACCTGATAAACCACACTGAGTTGTCTTTGTTAAGTCCCGGTGGTTTGGCAGGTCTTTTCCTGGGCCAGATGCATGCTACAGGCTGTCCTTGGAGGTGCTCATTGGATAGGGCAGTTATCTGGCTGATGTCGCACTTGGGGACGTCAGGGCCCTTAACTGCTTTAGACATACCCTGTTGGTGTGCAAGGCCGTGAGGGTCAGTGGATGGAAGAGGGCGTGCCAGGCTCCCTAGGGCCTGCACTCTTTGAGAGGGAGGTCTGGCTGCTCTGGGTGAAGTCTTGTGCATGGTTGCCACTCAGCTTCCTGTTTTTTAGCCAGGCCGCACCTCTTTGAGGCCGCACAGACCCTGGCAGCCACACCCTCCATTGCCCAGAGGGCCTCATACAGGGTCTGCTTGTCTCCTAGGAGAGCCTGGAGGGGTGATATCCTGTGTCTGACCATTTGCCCATTGATGGCTTGGGGACATGCCTCCCATTGAAGGTACGGCTGTTTGGGGCATTGGCAGTGCCAGCTGGTGACTTTGGCTCTAGCTGCCTGAGGTGGAGTGTCAGAAGGTTCTGTCTGCTGGTGATGACGTTGTTACCTGTTCCTGCGCTTTCACAACCCTGGCTGCTCGGCTGTTTTCTCGGCACGTTGGGCGTGTCTGCTCTTATTTCTCTTGGTGAGTGCTCCCAGATGGGGCTGACAGTGGCCTGTGGAACATTCCCTGGATGCTTTGTGCTCTGGGAAGACCAAGGGTTCAGGGGTGTTGGGTTTCTTTAGACTACCTGTTTGAAATTCTTGGCTCACAGTGTGGTTTCCCGTGTGGAATTTTCTCAACGCTTATTCCACGGGGGGACAGCTCAGCAAAGGCTTGGTAGGTGTCTTTTCGTGGGGTCAGCGGGTCCAGCTGTGAAAGCTGGCCGTGCAGAGGAGTGTGGATGACAGGAGAAGCACACGGGGGAGAGGTCCTTGGACCCTCAGGACCCAGTAAGGGCTGCTCGTCTTGCTTTGGGAATCCAGACTAGTATTAGGAAACATGCAGTGTCAAAACAGCATGCTTAAAAACAGCATAGTACATGAAAAAAAAAAACAAGTAACAAAAGCAATGTTTTGAAGCAGCAGCTGTTTCAACCCCAAAGGTGGAAAGTTTCCCAGTATGCATTTTTAACACACATCCCCACGTGGCAGAAAAACAGGAGAGGGAGAAGTGGGAGGAGGAGGAGGAGGAGGAGGGCGGTGAAGGCGGGGAGGAAGATCTTTGTTTGATTATTTCCCCTCCGTGTGTGTGTGTGTGTGTGTGTGTGCGCGCGCGCATGTAGTTAAAAGCTGCTTCCGGATGGAATCCCAAGGAGATTTATATTTGTACTTGGTTGTCTTGACAACAATTTAGCGATTTCTGCCACTTCGCCAGCAGCTGAGTGCGTGGTTAGAGATAGCAGAGGGCTTCCCTGCTTCCCGGCGAGGCGCTTGTTGACGCGACTCTGCTTAGTCTTGAGTGGAATCTGTGTGGGGCTCATCAAGGAGAAAATGCCTGGGGTGTGGTGAGACACCGGGCACCAGGGACTGCTGACACTCGCGGGGGCCTTTGCACAGAAGGACTCAAGAGAGGGAACAGGCTTCTGCTCACAGAGCTGTGACCCTCACCCAGACTTCCGCGTGCGATGGTGAGCTCTGTGTTATGGAGGACATCCAGCAGGATCATGTGGATTTGTTCCAGTTATTCTGGAAGGAACGAATGCATCGGACGGTGGGCTGGGCTGGGCAGCCATCTGAGTCCATTTCCTGTCGCTATAACAGAGTACCTGGGGCTGCATACTTCATTGAGTAAGGAGGTTTTGTTTGACCCGTGGTTCTGGTGGCTGGAGGGTTCTCCATACTGTGTGGTGCCAGGCACCTGGCGAGGGTACCTGGCTGTGTCACACAGGGCTGAGGAATAGATAGAGAACCCAAAGCAGAAGGAGCCGAGTGCATGAGGTCACTTTGCTTTATAACAGCCTGCTTTCTAGGGCTGGCGTTGTGGTGTGGTGGGTTAAGCTGCTACCTGTGACACCAGCATCCCATACGGGCACTGGTTCCAGACCTGGCTGCTCCACTTCCGATCCAGCTCTCTGCTAATGCACCTGGGAGAGCAGTGGAAGATGGCCCAAGAGTTTGGGCCTCCGTATCCATGTGGGAGACCTGGAGGAAGCTCCTGGATCCTGGCTTTGGTCTGGCCAGCCCTGACTGTTGTGACCATTTGGGGAGTAAACCAGTGAACAGAAGATCTCTCTCTCTCTCTCTCTCTCTCTCTCTCTGTCTCTTCCTCTCTCTGTGTAACTTTGCCTTTCAGATAAATAAGTAAATCTTTAAAAAAACATAAAGATAACAGCTCACTTTCTCAGGACTGACTCATCAGAGGGACAGCATTAAGCCTTTCCTGGATGCAGTACAACCTCCCTGTTTCCCACTAGGCCTCACTTCTATAGGTGCCATCACCACAGCACTGCCACCTTGGAGACCACGCTTCTAGCACTCGGACCCTTGGGCCTGCTCAACCCACGTCCAAGCTGTCAGTTTTCTTCATGTTGGCTTTCCAAGTCTGAGATTCTATTAAAATTCTAGTTTTTTTTTTTTTTAATTTTTTTCTTTCCCAGGCAGGCATTGCTCTTAAGCAGTTGAGGGAAGCTAGCAGAAGTCCTTTTTTAAAAAGGCAAAGAGGCAGAGAGAGAGAGAGAGAGAGAGATATCTTCCATCTGCTGGTTCACTCTCCAAAATGCCCACAAAGGCTAGGACTGGGCCAAGCGAAAGCCAGGAGCCTAGAACTCTACCCGAGTCTCCCGCATGGTTGCAGGGGCCTAAGTATTTGGGCCAGCTTCCACTGCTTCCTCAGGTGCATTAGCAGGAAGCTGGATCTGGTGCTATGATATGAATTGCCAGCGTTGTGAGTGGTGGCTTCACCTGCTGCATCCCAGTGCCGGTGCCGCGGGAGCACTCGACTTCCCTATGAAATCAAACCCCTGTGGAATGTAGGGGACTCTAGGTAGCTGTCTGGCAAACAGTGATACTGTGCCTGTGCTTCCTGCCCCGGGGTGATCCCAGCTCCTAGAGTCCCTTTGTTCCTCTTCTGTTCAAGGTCAACGTTGCTTCATGCCTCCCTCAGCTTTGAGAGCTCAGAGCGTCTCTGGTGTGTGCATCGTAATCATTTG